GGCACAACCATCCAGTTAATCTGGTCAATAATTCAAAAGACTTTTTTTATGGGAGGGCTGATTTATCTTGTTTGATTTTTTTATCGTTTGTCAAATTAGCTGGATAATCACCTAATTGATACTTTTTACTTCACAAGTAGACCCAACTTGAATGCAGAACAAATTAAACAGTGATTTCCCCTGCCAATTAGACAAGAAAACCGTCTTCCTCCACCTCCTGCTGAGTCTGTCACCACCCACCACCCGGAATCTTGAAAGTGGGGAGTCTGGGGGGCATGTTACCCCATGAGAACATGTTTGTGTTCTTTTTACAGTTAGCATGAAACCACTTTCACAGAGCCAAGCAAAATGGTCTGTCGGTTCAACTATGATTAAAATACCTTCAAGAATTAGCAATAAAATCTGTGTGCAAACTCCCCCCACCACCCCCCTAAGTCTATTTACACTTATTTCCCACTGAACTAAAGGACATGGGAGACAAATTATTCCTTAAACTCAGAAGAGAAACCTCTTCTCCCCTAAAGTCAAGCAAACCTGAGTTGACTTCTCCCATAAATTCAGGCACAAAAAGTTATAAATTGAACCTATGAAGGACATTGCCTTTTTTAAAGTGATGTTTCCTTGCCTTAATGGATTTAGCTAAGGCAGGGAGTCACAGGAAAGCTGTCTTAACTAAATCTTTGACTGATTATGCATTTTTTCCCTATTCATACAAGATAGATTCATCATCCCAATTTGTCAAGCTGGCGAAGTTCCAATTAATTACACTCAGCAAACCTCAGCTCACGCTTTGCGGTGTCAGGCCTAATCTAGCGCCTCATTTGCTGCCGGCCCAATGAAGAGGCATCAGAGGTGCCGTCCCCCCGATACTTACCGTGATGGATGCCCCTGGTGGGGCGCTGGTGACACCGGCAGAGCCTGGACGCCGCTCTCCCAGCCCCGGACTCGCGGCTCCGCACTAATTTGAGGGCTCATCTGTATAGTGGATGTGATCCCAGCGTCGATCCTTCATGGCGGGCTGAAGGCTTTCCCTGTCGGGTGGGCTGTTTAAATACCTACCCAGGTTCTACATTTCTGTCAGATTTGTCCTTGCTGAACAGAAAAAAAGAAGGCAGTTTGTCCTCGAGCAGAGTTTCTCAGCTCTTGGCGGCGGCTGTGTGTTGGGGGGGAGACAGGCCATGGTTCCTGGGCATTCATGTGGGTGCTCGCCCTGCGTCCTGCTGGCCCTGTGTCCTGCACTGTCTGTCCTTAGAGGCAGCACAGACTATTTTGCCTTTGGTGACTTTAGTTCCAGCTTTCATGCTTTTGGTTTACCAGCATTTGTTATGCTAACAGATGTTATTTACGAAGCAAAAACAGGCCTGGATTTTGCTATGGCTCTTTGGTGCGGGGACCTCACCATTGATGAGTGAGTTGGGCCAGAGGGTAAGCCAAGGGCTGGTTGGGCCTAACATCTTCAGAGACCAATGGTTTTTAACACCCTTTAAAGTGGGGCAACTTAACTCAGAGAAGTTAAGTGACTTGCCCAAAGTTGTACCTCTAAGTGTGGGGATGGGAACTGAACCAGACTTAGGGGTCCATAAGGTCTGAGCTCTTTCCAGGACCCCAGGTCATTTTCTCTTAAATTAGAACTTCTTCCCTGTCCCTCCTGGCTCCTGAACCATTGCCTTTAAACCTGCAAACCACAGCTGAGCCCAAGGCTTCTTGGCTGGTTGCAGGGCTGCCTAATGGGGCTGATGCTGGGGCTGTGTCTACACCGGCCCTGGGACTAGCAGGCAGTGGGTGGGGACAGAGTGTGAGGTCCTTCCCAGATAGCCTTGACCACTTGGCTCTTTCCCTTAGTGTCTGGCCTGTGTTGGTCAGCTTTCTGTTTTCAGCTTTGGATGAAGCTCTGCTTGAAGAGCATGGGTTCTAGATCCCAGTGTGGCCCAAGGACTGGATGATGCAGTTCCGAGTGGTCAGTTCCACACGAGGTCAGCCTTGACCTTGGGGAACAGGAGCCAAAACTGACTTCCCCTCCCCTCTTGTCTTCATGAACCACCCTGAAGCATGGCTTCTATTTGCTTGTCTTGCAGGGAATTTCCACAAGCAAAGTGAGCACCTATGCTGAGCCAGCAACCCTCTGCTGGCTCCCAGTGAGTCTGTGGTAGACCAGCAAGACGGTACCCCGACACCCTGTATCTTGGTCTCACTTCTCTTTAACTCACCTCACTTTCAAAAAAAAGTGCTGGCATCTTAGTCCTCCCTCCTGGACCCAAGACATGGATGCTGGGCCCTGCAGAGATACAGGGTGCTAGGAACAAGGTTAACTTCTCTTGCTTCCAACCTACGTAGAAGAGACCCTGAAAGGGGTGGTCATATTATGGAAAGAATCAAGTCACATCAAAGATCAACTTTTAATTTAAATAAGACTTCAAGTGCATTACTATTCAGCATTTACATTCCTTCCTGGTTCTTAAATATAATGTGTTTTACAGTTATCAAAAACATATGTTGCTTTTCAGCAGCGTTTTATATACAAGTTGTTCGACAGAAGGTGCCGGCATCCCAATATGTTTTGCTTAGTTTTGGCTTTAACCATTGTGATGAAAGAATACAAGTGTGAGAGTGTCATCTCTTTGAATGTAGAGGGAGGTGTTGCCAAAGAGTGCCTCAAGAACCCAGAAAAAGGAAGGAGGGTATTTCATATTACTTTCAGTGAACTAATTTTCTGTGATGTTTCTATTATGAGGAAGTCTCTCTCTCAAGCTTGGTGGGAGCTACATGGATGAATCAGTCCCAGATCTGTTTCCAAAAAACTTTTCAAGGAACTTTCAGTCTAATAAAATAACTCTTGCAAAAGCTGTTGGGGGTATTCTTCTTAGTGAAAGAGTCATAAACAATTTGTTGCCTGCTGCTATACCTGTGAGGTCATATGGGTGGGTAAAATGTTGACATACTTTCATTCCTGTTTGGTAAATTTGCATTGTCCCTCACTGTCCATACCTGGCCTATTTGGTCTCCCCACATTGGTCCTGTGTCTGAAACAATAATGCCTTGCAAGGCAGGGTATTTGCAGACCTTCCAGCACCATGGCCAGCCAGTATCTGCTCTGATGGCTTAGAAGCTCTCCTGTTAAATGAGAGCTTAGAAGCTCTCCTGTTAAATGAGAGCTCATCTTTCTTGAATGGAGTCATGCCGTGCCCATTATATTCAGATGGTATATACCCTTACTGTTGCAATCTCCAATTCAGCTGGTGGATTTGTTCTCTGTCTGCTTTTAGTTCTGTCAGTTTTCACGTTATGTATTTTTAATCTATTTAGATCTTTGCATTTAAAGTTCTCTGCTTATAGATGGTTTGTAGGTGAGTCTATTTTCAAAAACATTTTAAAAATCCAGTCTGACAGTCTCTGCTTTTTATGAAGAATTGTTAGCCTATTTACATTTAATGGAATTTTGGGTAGGGTTGGGTTTCATCTAGTATTTAGCTTTTGTTTTCTGCTTAAGCATCAGTTTTTTTCTTTCTTTGATCCTTTCCTTGTCTTCTTTAGGTTATAAAATCTACTGTTATTATTTAATTTAATTACTTTATTGCATCTTACCTATACTGCTTAGTATTTTTTAAGTTCTTTCAGGAATTATCATTAGTTATCAAAGTCTTCTTAATGTTATTTTGTTCTGTTTTTATGGGAACTACACCTGATGTAAAATATATACAAATAAAGAAAATTAATTTAGAAAAAGACCCTTGAGGCCATATAATTTCAGTTATTCTCCCTCACCCTTTGACCCATTGTACCATTATTATCATATATTTTGGTATTCACACACATTATAGAATAAAAAAAGAATAAATATATACTTTTTAAGTAGTCAGTTGCCTTGTAAATAAGAGGGGAAAAAAGATAGTGCTTTGATTTTGCTCCTATTCACCATTTCCAGTTCTCTTCATTCTTTCTTGAGGAATAGTTGCTGTCCCATGTCATTTTACTCTGACCAGATAGATTTCTTCTGGCATTTCTTATGATGTAACTGTATGTACATAGAGTGCATAGTTTGGCTCTAGTTTTCATTTGCTTTTGCTTCTCTCTAGACCTTCAAATACAAATGAAAGTGGATGCATTAAAAATACCAAAGATGACCAAACTTGTTTTTCAGGTGATATGTCCATGCTAAGAGTGCTGCCTTTCTGCCCAGGTATCAGGAATGAGATGACAAGGATGGGAACCCTGGGCTGGCTTCACCCTTTAGAGAGATTTTACTGATTTATAAAGACTTGAATATATTTAAACTTATTTTTAGATTTGGAAGATTTTATAAAAAAAAATGTGGGGTTTTGGCTCTTGAACAGTTGGAAACTGTAAATTTAAACCCAAATTCTATGATCCTATTTGGAACAATTAGCCACAGGTGACTAGCTGTCCCCTGCCCAATGGGATTTGTGCTATTTAGTTTGCCATGGTTTTCCACCCTGATTCACCCACCGCCATTTTCCTGCTGTTCTCTGTGGTCAAGACCAAGGAGCTAGAATGTCTCCATTCAATCCAAGGGTGATCTAAAAAGTAAACTAAGGTGGTTTATGTTTGCCATTCATTTAAGACAACAGATTAGGTGGGAAGTTTGGAATACCCTGTGCCTGTACCTCTTTAACACCAAATTAAACCTTCTACAAGGGAATGCAATATGGAAAACTGTTGTTTTAAAACAAATAAACTCTTGAGTTCTTAGATCATGACTCCAAGCCTGACTCAATGACATTAAGTCTCTGTGCTGGGTGAATTTACACCTATTGTGTAATTTACACCTATTGTGTGAATTTACACCTATTGGATGGAGGACTTCTACCTTCAAATCATAGTAGAGACACATTTTCTGAATGTATTTTCCTCTCCTGAAGGTAAATCTTAATCATAAGGGAATGGACCAAGAATGCAATCTTTGCAGAGGTGTCAGACCTCCAATTGACCTGGGAAAGATACATGTGAAATGCAAAATAATCTTGCCCCAACTGGGAAAATTTTTTCTCTTTTTTTTCTTTTCTTTTTTTGGTATTATTACATTAAATGTTTGTGAATCCAGCATGACTTCAGACTCCAGAAGAATCCAGCTTTTTCTGGACTCCACAACCATGCCCAGGATCCAGCCCTATGGGGTTGAACAAAAGTGTAGGAACCAGCAGGAACACATGGGGAAGTTATCCCAAACAAGGACTATAGTGGTGGTCAGCGTGAAGGTTGGGATTCATGACCTACTATGGGATGAGGTTAATTTTGTGCAGTGTGCTTTACAGGAAGAATCTGGGAAGACTTCAAATTCACGGCCATGGTACAAATAGCTGTCAATGCAGAGAGATAGACAAAAACTCTTCAGCTCATTTTATCCTTTTTGAAGCTTCAGAGGGGAAAACAAGCTTCTCCTGATGATAGAAAATGAGAAAAGACAAGAGGAATGGGATCTCTGCCCTAAATCCATCCTTTTAGATTAATGCTCACTAATGGATATTAAAACATGGTAGATTAATGAAAGCCTGATAGACCATGCAGATGAAAAAATACACTTACTTTTGACAGCCAGGCAGTGAAGAGACGTCCAGGAATTAAAGACCAATTCAGATGAAATTACCCTCTCCATTAGGATGTGCTTTCCTTGGTAAATCAGGAGCTGTAGGAAAGAGGAAAAAGATGTTATGATCATCAGACAGCTTTCGTTTAAACTGTAACTTGTGATCACAGGACTAAGGGGCACACTAGGTTTCACATGCTGGCAGATTAACTCAACACGGGTCAACAGGACATAGGAGGAAGGGGTGCTGGAATTTTGGATAAGCACCTGTTGGACATTATGAGCAGCTGGATGTAGGGACATGAAGGAGTCTGCCGGGTGTCAGTTGACCAGCTTGCAAGCAAAGGATGTTTTCACCTTTGAGTCCTTACTTGCTCTTTGTGGTAGTTATGTATCTTGTGAATTTAGCTAAGCTGGAATTACATTGCCAGGATTCTTTTCCTCCTCTTACTCCGCATGAGTTACCCTAATTTGTGTAAGATTTGGAAGAAGTGAAACAACATTCAATTTTCTACTCCAAGGGTTGAGGTGGAAAGATTGCCAAGCGCTGTGGCAGCCATATAGCTTGTTGCTGATGTGCTGTCTCATCTGGCAGGCAGCATCTGGATCTACAGTTCCTCTGGTATCTGCAGTGTTAGTGTTTGGTGTGCAGCTCTATGGCAGAGGACGCTAGCTTTTTTCTTGATGTCACTGTGAGTTTTAGACTAAAGATGGTGAGAGAAATACATGGGGGTCCAGGTGTGGTGGACTCCAGCTTATTCGTGGGGGATCCAGTTCTTCCTCACTCTCTCCTGCTTCCCTTAGAGTGTTCATACAAACCACCCATCCAGCTGGTCTAAGAGTAGGTCAGATGACAGATGGAGAGGAAGTGGCCTCACATACACTCCCCTCAAACCTCCAGCCCATCTCTTCTGAATGCCATGGAGGTTCTGCTTCTTGAAGCAAATTCCAACTGATATCCTGACTCTGTGGTGACAGACAGTGGATTGACTCCCAGGAAAATTCCTGCAAATTTGTTGGAGTCTCTGTCCTCAAAAAAGTTGGCTTGTCTTCAGCCCCTAGAAGATCTAAGTTAAACCATGGCGAGTTATTCTTCTCTATATGGTGAGAAGGTTGTGGAAACAGAAAGATTCTAGTTGAATTACCTTGCGGGCAGGATAACCGCATTGGGACACACTTTCCTTTCTAGTAAGCAATAGCTTCTTCACTCACCTACACTTGAAGGTTGGGGAGTTCATCTTTGTTTTTTTAGCCTTTACTTGCATGAGTTAGTGAGATATCCAATTGCCTAATCTAGAAAAAAACCGGACTTACTTTTTTTCATTTCAATGGAAAATTTGCTTTAATTCCCACGTTGGAAACTTGAATTCAAGGCTTGAGGTTACTTTTTAATAAGTAATTTTGAATTATGGGAGTGAGAGTCACCTATCTCTCTGTCTATTTGTTTTTGGGTAAAGAGGAAGGGACTAGTGTTTGTTGAGTACTTGTTGAGTACTTGTGCTTTGTATGCATTTTCTGCAATAGGTCATTTAATCCTCAAATAATGTAGGCATTTGGATTAGCACTCCACCTCACAGGTGAGCCACAGAGTCCTGGACAGATTAAACAGCTTGACTAGGTTCTTTTAGCATGTGGGTAGTTGAATCTGGATAGGAAGCTCGTTCTTCCTAGCTCAACAGCTCTTGATCTCGGGCATTCCCTGGTGGCGCAGCGGTTGAGCGCTGGGCTGCGAAGCTGCCCATAGCCTCTGCAGCACCGGTTTGATCCCCGCCGCTGGCGAGGGTCCCACATGGTGCGCAGACCTCTCCTGCTGTGCCCGCTGCTCCCCTCAGCAGTGTACTTTGGTCCTTCTGCCTGTTCTGCTCCCCACTCTGCCTCTGGTGAATTCTCTCACCCTCCCGCGCTTCTGACTGTACCCAGTGCTTGTATAAATAAATAAATCTTTAAAAAAAAAAAGAACTTCTTGAGTGTTTATGTGTGATTGTGACCCACCTATGTGATATGATCTGACAGTGGGGTCAGTGGGAAGAGGGCTGGCTGAGCCCAGACATCAAGCTCTGATTTTGGAGTTCCAGCTTAGCCAACCCTATATCCCCAGGCAGCCACAAGTGAGAACAAATATCTTCCCCCTTCCTCATCTCAAAAGATGAATGAAAATAAACTTTGTATTCAACAAATGGGAAACCACTTTGGACAACTACAAAGTGAAAGATGACACTAAGTAAATCAAAGGCTTGTTTTTATTGGATTTTATTGGAGTCCTCCACTTAGCACAGTGGTTTTCAAACTGGGCATGCTAGAGTGTCCTTGGGTGCCGTGCTAGGATTGGGGGCTTCAGCCTCATTTTCAGTTCAAGAATTCTATTCATATCTATTTCTCATAAGAGAGTTTTAAAAGTAAAACTTTTTTTTTAAGGCAGTTTGAGGTTTGCACCAAAATTGAGAGGATGGTACAAAGATTTTCCATATACTCTCTGCACCTCCTCCCAGGCAGTCTCCCCCATTATGAATATGACCCACCAAGGTGGTTTGTTCCAATCTGGGAGCCTGTGTTGACACATCATAATCAGCCAAAATCCATAGTTCACATTACAGCTCACTCTGGATGTAAATTCTATGGGCTCAGACCACGGTGTAATGATACCTATCCATCATTAGCGTATCATACAGAGTAGATTTACTGCCCTAAGACTCCTCTCTCTTCTATGCATTCACCCCTTGCCCTGCTTCCTCATAATGAGATCTTTATATTGGAGTAATTACAAGTGATTAGAAATAAAAGCAAAACAGGCTTCTCATACTCAGATTTGAAAGCCTTTGATGCTGGATAAGGAGGTCCCTGATGGGTGTGTGGTGAGGACAGACATGGGCTGGATAGGAAGGTCCATGTCATGCACAAAGGTTGATGAATCCAGACTAGAAAGCAAGTCTGGGAGTGTAATTAGGGTATTATAGGGTAAATAGTTATGGAGATTCCAAATTTTATTCTGATTTTGTGTGTTTGGCAGTTGCTTGTGAGTGAAAATGCGGCTCTTGTCTGACTGTAGGAGGTGGGGCCAGGAGTGGCTTAGCTGACGAGGAATCAGGATGCCAAGGGATGTGAAGCAACACAGGATGTGTAGACAGGAGACCTTGTGTCTAGTGCAGCGAATGCACCCAGATGGATAATTAGCAAGTTTCCTCCCCATGAAGATGCTCACTGGAGCATACATGTTGATTTCTTATGTGTCCTTTTTAGAGGTACTGTGGTCAAAGTAATAATACTCGAGTCTCTACAAGTATTCTAATATTTTATGCTCCGTTGCTGCTGTTTCAATGGAGTACAGATGGGTGGAAGGGGCAAGGAGAGATGTTCAGAAGTTGGAAAGGGAGGAGGGAAGAGATGTACTGGAAAAGGAATTGATGTCTGAGCTTTCCTCTCCATGGTTGCTTATTTTCTTCTTTCTCCTGCAGTCTGATGGATGCTGGGGATTTCAGGATTTTAGTGAGGTTCATTGCCTGAGTGTACTCAGGCATCTAATGACTAACCTAAACATCAAATGACTCCATCCTTTTCACTCGTGACTCCAGCAGCCGAAGGAAGCTAGCTGTACAACCTAGACAGCCTGCAGCGATCACTCTTTACTCTTACAGAAGAGGCGAATGGGAACCCACCAAGCTGACCTTTGGTTTTGCCAAGGCCAGTTACTCTGGAGCTGGCCAGCCCACTTGTGGCGGCCATTGTTGGCAGAGTCTTAAAGACAGCCATCACAGGGGAGCTCTTTATGGGGTAGCAGGGCATCCATACACATAAAAAGCAGAAGCAATGCTTGTTAGTTATGGGGAAGGTGAAAGGCTTAGAAAACTGATTAGCGTAGCAGTGTGGTCAGATGGAAATGAAAGCTCAAAAGCACAGTCGTTAATTGGGTGCTTACCTACTCATTTGAGCTTGGGTGTCAGCAGTCCCGCACTTCATTTCAAACCCAGGGTCAGACTTTAATGCTACATCATAAATTACGTAAAGGCACAACACTAACAATTAGATAATTATGGAGACCCATGCTGTTGCAATTTAACTGGGCAAGTTCAGGGCAAACATGACAGGAATACAGCTTAACCCTCACACTGCTGGCAGCCTTTTTGCCCAAAGGGACAAATGAATATATGAGATGATGTGGTTGGCTGGTGTCCAAACGCTATGGGTTAAATCATTTCTTTCCAGTAGTTAGATTCATCAGATGACCTAAGCTGACTCAGAAGAAATCTTAGAAAAGTGTTAATTATATCTTAGAAAAATCCTGTTTCTAACTCCACACCAGCTAATGCACCTGGGGGTGGGCTGGGTTCCAGTTAAACTTTGAGCTTAAGCTTAAGATCACAGCTAATTTTTACCATTATGAGACTTTCTGTAGATGGAATATATGATCATTCAATTCCAGGTCCCCTGCAGTAACATGTGAATCCAAATAGAAGGGTCCATTTTTAATTCTCATTGCGTTCTCACTGGCAAGTGGCCGATTGCATCAGTGAAGGTGTTTTATTGACCATTTTGAACTGACAAGGCTGTGCTGGCTCTTCTGGGATGTGATCATTCCAGAATGATGCTTACGGGCACATCCTCAGCACACAGACATCATTAATAGGCATTTAAGCATCTTTCTGATTTCCTGGCAGAGTCGGAAGAGGTGCGGAGGGTCAGCCCATGTGCCTGTAATAAGGGTTTTATTTCTGGGAGAGTTTTGTCTTCACTCTCAGAATGTGAACTTGAGGATGTCATGAGCCATGTATTGTTTTCCCTTGATCTTCAGTGCCCTGGCCCAAGGAGAAGAGAACATTAGAAGGAACAGACAGTTCTAAAGAGCTTCACGGAGGGAACGAATAGTTCTCATCTGGGAAGTATAAAGGAAAAGGACAGACAGCTTAATTGATGTTTAGGTTTTGGAAAATCAGATTGTCTGAAAAATGAAATCCCATTTTATTTTCCCTAAAATAATATTGAAAACTGAATTCTAGCATGTGAACAGATCACTGTACTTGTCGGGTCTTGTTTCAAAAAAGATACCATGTGACCAGCCCACATGTCTACAGCGGAGGTCACAAAGAACTTAGAATCAGGGACCATAGAATTTAAGATTGTAGGGTTCGTGGGGAACTCAATAGCCTGTGTGTGAAATAGTGGGTGTTCCCTGAAGACTTGGGGGTTACCCAACCCTATATTCGGCTCAAAAATGGAGGTAGAAGGGGGATGGAGTGTGAAAATCTTCCCAGTGCCTACCAAGCTGGCATGGAGGACATGCCACCAGGGAACTCTGTGCGTTATGCGTGCATGTGTGTGTAGCTGTGTGAACCCACAGAGCTGCATGAACCCACAGAGCTGTGTGTTGGCAGAGGCAGCAGAAGTGTGCAAGAGCAGGGCGATTAGTACCAAGCCTACTCCTGGGAAGGAGAGGTGTTCTTGTCCTCCTGATTCCACTTCTTGTCAGTGAGGGTCGGAGTCAGGGATTTGTCCTTCTGATGCTTTCTCCAGTGCAGCAGGTACGTCTGCAGTTTGGTGACAGCACCCAACATGCCATTATGGCACCTCCAGATTGGCCCAGAGTGGCAATGGCTGAGAATCCTTGAGAAGCAGAGTCCTCTTTTCTGCAGGAATGTTGCTCTAATTGACCTGGCAAGCCCAGTGTACCCCCCATGGATTTCTGAGGTTTCCCACAGGAGGGAGGACTCTGCGGAGAGGACAGCTTTTTCCTGTGCTAAGTGAGGTAGGATGCCAGGCTCATTCAATTCTAATATTGACAATGATCCTTTCATTAGATACTCCAAGCTACCTACTTGGGATTATTAGTTACATATAGACAAGGCTTACATAAAAGTTACAGGTTATGTTAGTCAGGCTTGAAAAGGATAGAGAGAACAAAGATACTTGGATTGTAGAAACTCCATGGAGTCATTCCATGATAAATGATGGTCATTTTTTAAAAAGATTTTTATTTACTTATGCATATAAGAACTGGGGTACAGGCCAGAGGCGGTGGGGGTGGGGAGCTGAGAGGATTCACCAGAGACAGAGTGGGGAACAGAACAGGCAGACTGACTGAAATACACTGCTGAGGGGAGCAGCAGGCAAGACAGGAGAGGTCTGCTGCGCCATGTGGGTCACATCCCTGCCCGGGGATTGAACTCATGCCTCAGTGGCTGGCGATAGCTTGATAGCACTGAAACTCTAACCCCTCTGCCACCGGGGTGGCCCAAGATGGTCTTTTTTTTTTTTTCCAGTATGTGGAAATAATACACGGAATGACAAAGCTCAGCTCTCTACTGGAAAATTTCTCAAGCAGAGAAAGTGATACCTTGCAGAATAACCCCCCATCATTTATCTTGGTCTGGGTCCTCTTCCCTACCTTACCTGCTGCTCTTCTATGTTCCCCAAAGGAGTGGCTCAAATCAGGACCAAAATTCACTAAGCCCAATTTTGTAGACATCTTCAGCTTGAAATGTCTTTGGAGTGTCTTCATTGAACATCGAGGCTGAGACATGTGACTTGTTGGCGAGAGGATCTTTTGGGGACGTTGCTAGTGCTTGGGATTGGATATGATATGTTCTGTAACCAAAGACAGGTGGTGTCTTTAATTTCTTTAAAGTTTTCTCCTGAAAGTTTTTACCTTCTCACCACCTTCCCCCACTTTTCCCACCCCTACTTCTGCCCCTGTGTTCTGTTCCTATGATGTCAGCTTTTTAAGGTTCCACATATAAGTGAGATCATACAGCATGTGTCTCTCTCTGTCGGACTTACTTCACTTAGCATAACGCCCTCAAGTCCATCCCTGTTGCAGCAAATGCCAGGGTTTTCTCCTTTATATAGCAACATCATATTCATATATACATATCTGAATTGTATATAGAGCTCACATTTTCCTCCCCCATTGTTCTATGGATGGATATTTCAGTAGTTCCATGTCTTGGCTGTTGTTTCCTTTGGGTGCCTACCCAGAAGTAGGCTTGCTGTATCATATGGTAGTTCTATTTTTATTGTTTGGGAAACCTCCATCGTTTTTTCCAATTTCCATTCCCATCAACAGTGCAAAAGGGATTCCTTTTCTCCACAGGCTCCCTTGCATTTGTTATTGCCTTCTTGATGACAGCAATTCCCTCCCTGATAGTTGACATTTTTATTTATCTTGAGTCGTGTTAATTTTTTTATTCAGGTACCATTATTTTTACATCCTAGGTAGTGTTTTTTTTTTAAAACTGGGGTACAGGCCAGAGGTGGTGGTGGTGGGGGCGTTGGTGAGAGGATTCACCAGACACAGAGTGGAGAGCAGAACAGGCAGGCTGACTGAAGTATACTGCTGAGGGGAGCAGCGGGCGAGACAGGAGAGGTCTCCTGCATCATGTGGGTTGGCCAGGGATCAAACTTGTGCTGTGGACAGCTTCACAGTGCTGTGCTTAATCCCTTGCGCCACCAGGGAGGCCCCTTGGTAGTGTTTTAACAATGCAGGATTCCCCCACTACTGAAGCACCCTAGTCCACCACAGTCCACCATTCCCTCTGTCCTTCCACCCAGATTTCACCCTCCTTCTTCCCTCCTCACCTTGGAAAGCCACAGATCTTGACAGCCATTCCAACAGGTGAGCAGTAATGCCTTATTGTGGTTTTGATTTACATTTCTGTGGTCATTAATCATGTCGAACATCTTTTCATATACCTGTTGGCCAAGGAATAAAATTTCTTTAAAGTTTAAGTAATGGTCTATTTCCAATGATGGGTTGGTTTCGGGAAACTTGCTTTTCTAGCCAATGTTATATAGACATGAGTAATATTACACAGAATATTCTCTTAATTCTTAAAAGAAAGTAACACACACACACAAAAAGCTGGTGAAGTTGGGCAGAATGGGTTTTATGGGCATCTAGAGACTAATGTGCAGTGATTGAATACATGTTTCCATTTGCTGTGTCTTGGTGGTTGGTTCCTAAGATTATTCTGGAACATCAGTTCATGGAAGGGCCACTTTGAAGGAAGGGCTCTTTTTCTAGAGAAGCCCTGTGCTGCAGTTTAACAAATTCACATCTCCTTCATTTTACCTCCCGAACTACTCCACTCCTTAAACAGATTTATTTGCATTGACTCAGCTAGTTAAGTCACATTTAATTAACAAAATGCACTGGGTGCAGAAACATTACAATTTTAGAAGGTGAAGTAAACAGCTCTCTTGAATTGTCTCCCCTGGGTGTCAAGGTGGCGCTTATGTTATTCACTTGTCTTCCCTGCTCTTTCTTTGCTGCAGATGTGAGCAGAAGGAGGAAGGCTAGGTAAGGCGTCACCCAGGCTGTCTTCTTTTCCTCTTAATCACCTATCTCTCACTCCCCTGCTTCTCTCTTCTTACTCTGGAAGGGCCACAGTGGCTGCAGTGATGCTACACTTCAGATTTTGCATTTAACAAGGCTTGCAGGCTGCTTGTTCCATGCTATTGAGAAGTACCTCATTCTTCCCAACAGTGGCCTGGTGTCCTAGTGCATGTGGCTGGACCGTACCTTAGGAGGCTGTCTTCCAAAGCCGGGTCTGAAGGAGACACCCATTCTGCCTCTGGAAGTCGTGTTGCACTGCACCCTTCCTTACTCACAAAGGAGGATAAACTCCTGGAAATTTTCATTACTGAATCAGAGGACATGTGCATTTTAGATTTAAATTTGGGGGGATATTATCGGTCACATTACTCCCCAAAGGTGCTTCAGTGCTTTGGACAGCGAACTAGCTACAGAATGCTGACTAAAGATACTTTGAACCAGAACTTGACCATTCAGAGCTTGTTTCGACATTAAAGAGAAAGACAGAAGCACTTGACAAGAGGTGCAGAAGGAGGAGGTCCAGGGGAGGCAGACAGTGTATCTGCCAGGCAGGGGAAGGAGAATTTGCTCTGTGAGACCCAAAGCACTGGGGCTTGAACAGTGGATGACACACATGAAGGCAAAGTATGAAGAAATTCTTAATATAAGTGCTTGCAAAACGTGGAGCTGACTGTCAGCAAGGAAGGGAGGCTGCTGTTTCTCAGTGTCCTCCAGTCCAAACTCATTGTCTTTGGCCATGTACGTGTGTGTGCATGTGTGTATGTGCCCGTTTGAACGTATGTGTGTTGGTGTGTGCACAAGCGTGCACTCGTGCATAGGGAAGTCATGTAGTGGGCACATGCACATCGGGTGAGAGTTGTAGCAAATGGCTTTCACATCCTCTCAAGCACCTGAGCCAGTCAGTCAATGAACAGGTCCAAGTGTGGACAATTATAATTTCCTTAAGGTACATGTTTTTGTTTGACTGAGTTGCCCAAATCTAAATACCCACCAGAGACCAGCTTAATTGCAACACCGAGACTTTATCGAGCAAGGCAAACAGAGTGGACAGATGAGACCATGTCCAGAGGAACATGCACTGGCTCAGCGCCGGCAGGGAGTGGAGGTAGGGGTGCTGGAGAAGTGCTTTAGACTGGACTCTGAAGTCTGGGAGACTTGGCTTAGTAGAGGTGCACTGCTTGGTGGATGTGGCAGAGCATTTCGGCCAGAAGTCCAGAAAACTCTGGCTATGGACACTGGAGGTATGGGGCATGCAGGCAGGTGAGACTGAGAAGGGCAGACTGGGGACCAGAAGGGAAAGAAAGTTGGGGGGCATGTTAAAGATTTGGGATTGTTTTAGAAGCAACGATCTTTGAAGGGTTTTTGAGTGTGAGAATGACAAGTTGAGATTTGTGGCTGACCTGGCACCTTGGTGGGAGATGTTTTCAGGCAGGGTTTCTTCATCTGGGCATTACTGACATTTAAACTCATGTTTTTTTTTTCTGGAGTGTCTGTCCCATGCACTGTAGGATATTTAGCAGCACTCCCAGCCTGTACCCACTGATTATCAATAGTGCTTCCTCAGCTCCCACCTGTCACCTTTGAAAGTACCTCAGACATCGCTAAATGTCCCCTGGCGTGCATGTGGGAGGGGACGCAGCACCACATCTGCTGACGAGCACTTGTTTTAGAGAATGACATGACCCAAAGCCCTGAGCTGGGTGGAGGATGATGGCGGAAGTGTGGCTCAGCAGCCGACAGGCAGAATTGGCAGGTCTTGGGACAGGCTGACTGTCGAGAGGAAGGGAGGTACTGAAGGATAAGACTCGGTTCTGAGACTGGCAGGTATATAAAAGGTGGGGTGGTGCCATTCCTGAGTTTGGGAGCACTGAGTGGGTTTGCAGAGAACATGATAAATTCCATTTGGGAAATGCAGAGTGTAAAGTGGGGGACTCCATGTAGAGCTTGCCGATGGGAAGAGCACAGGGTTTGGGTGGGTCTTGCAAGGACTCCTAGATAGGGGTTTGTGTTCGACAGCTCCTGCCCTATTGCTGGCAGGTGAAATAAGACACGTCCTGGCCCCACTGAGAACAACTTGGAGCTGGGCATCATGGATGCCAACTGTCTGAGGCCCTTTCTGGGCACCATATACAAGACCCTGGGGCCATTCTAGATGCTCACATTCCCTGGTCCTTCACCAGGGCCACCCCCCTGGAGAAGACCCACATGGTTTCCTGACTAAGGAGGGGCGGCCCCTGCTGGGTTGACCTTTCCTGCTCCAGCTGGCTGGAGTGCTTCTTAAGTAATGGCCAAATGGCCGAGGCTATTACTCTAACTGTAATTTGTAATGGCTTTCTAACGCTTTAGAAGGAGCTGGGGTTCGTTGGGATGAAAGGTGACTTTTAAAAGTCAGTAATTATACTCCCAGTGAAAATGTGTCTTGGGCACGGTGGGTAACTATAGCATGCAGAGCACCCAGGAATTCACTCCTGGACAGGGCTTATATTAATCATAGTCTTAATGCACAGAGAACATGTTCTCAGTAGTTAACCATCCTTTTCCCCCTTCCTTAAAATGTGGGCCTTGTAATCAAAAGAAAGACACACCCTTAACTATAGCAGGGCTGCTGTACTAAATAAAAAATTATAGTTATTATACATGGACTTCATACTGAGCAGGGTCAAGTAATAACACATCTGGCAATCTCCATTAAAGAACTGAGTTATGTTCAGCTTGTGTTTTAATTAGCCTGTGATAAACAAAGAATCAAAGGCCATTCCGCTCTGGTGGTTTTTATATTTACGACTGGCTTCACCTGCAGTAAGATACAGGTTTATGAAGTGTAAAAAAGCGAAGAGTTCTAGTCGCACTGTCTAGACCATTTACTGTAATAGATCAGTTAGGAGGTTGTATTTCTGCCCCGCCAGATGTTTACAACGGCTTACAGAGCTGGTGGGCTACTGAGTTTCCAGGAGGGCTCAGGACTCACACAGGCTACTCTCCCCAGGAAGGATTAGGTACCATCAACACCGGCAGAGGGCTAAGGATCCTTCCCAGTTCATGCCGATGTCTCAGAACAGTAGGGTTTGGTATTGGCTGTCTTCGAGTTGAGCCCCAAGACTTCTTGAATGATGAGAAAAGTTACAGGATCCATTGAGAAAGCATTAAGTGCAGCTCCTCTGGCCCACCTTGTCAAACTCCCAGTTCACCCAGCTCACCCAGCTCACGTGAATCCTGAGTGGGTTTACGCGAAAGGCTTGAAGAAATTTTACCATAAATTCTTCTGAGGTTTAATGATCTTCCAGGTAGGTGCCAGCTTTATAATTCCCACATAAAAGATGGATTTAGGTACTGTA